CAATAGTCTTTTGGGAAGCCACTTGAAGAAGACAGACCCTGATACAGGCACAAAGAATAGTTTTGGTTTATACAGACAAGTGCACAATAGACATTTGACATGCATATTAAAGTGCATATTAAAGTGCATATTAAAGTGACAGTAAAAGGTGTCGGTTGCAGAGGACAGTGATAAGTTATGAAGTGTTTGAGTCCCGCTGCAGAGTGTAATATCTGTGTGCTGCAAAAACTGTGAAGAATTTGTATTTAGTGCAGTTCTTCTCAAGTTCATTTCACTTTAATGTATTTTTCTATGGTCCTAAATCACAGCAGTGAGTAAAGTTTATTTGTATAGCGCTTTTCACAGACCAGGATCACAAAGCGCTTCACAGTTAAAAACATATAACTAAAATACTAAGTTGAGAATCCAGAGAGTCCAGCATGGTCACCTGTGCTTCATAACAAGAAGGTCCTGGGTTCGAGTCCACCTCCAGACCTTTCTTTGTGGAGTTTCCTCTATCTATCCATCTATCTATCTTTCTATCGATCTAATTCTTTCATAAATGATGCATGTTGTTTGTCCCGATAGTAAGAGTCTTGCAAAAGTAAAACTCTGAATAAATCTTTGTCCTGATACAGTTTTTCTCAGTTGCTTTGATGCATTTCTCAGAACAATTAGAACAAACTGCAAAACCTGGTGGAAAATCTGCAGAAGTCACTTTCTCAAAATAAAAAGTGAATTCCTCAAAAGCCAGTCTTCATTTCAATGAAACTGTCTGTGGCTCAGAATAATAAGTCCTGACATCAGTACGGTCTAGGGCTCTGTTCAAAAAGCAATGTTACATGTCCCAAAAAAATAGAATCTGTTTTAAAGAAGATGTGACAGTGGCTCAGTTGGCCTTAGAGCCTGAGGGTCTTGGGTTCGAGCCTACCACGAGACCTTCTTCACCGACTCCCACTGGTGTCTGCTGCCGTTGTGTCCTTGGGCAAGACACTTAACCCCACTTTGCCTGAAGCCCCTGCTGAATGATCTCAGCTCCTGTGGACTCAGCACCTGCAGGAGGATCAGTGAGGGGCTGGTGCTCTGAAATGGATTAAGGGGAAGAAATGGATGGATATTTTAAAGATGAGCCCATGTACATCTACACACTTTACTGTAACAAGGTAAGCAGCAGGAAAAGGGGTATTTTATTGGCTGCATGCAATCCATCCATCCATCCATTTTCTACCCTTTAATCCATTTCTGGGTCAGGGGGGTGGCAGTCAGAGATGCCAAGTCTCATAGCACCAGCCCCTCACTGACCCTCTGCAGGTGGTGAGTCCACAGGAGGACGGCTGCTCTCTGAGTGTGAGCATAGCCTTGATCTTTCAGTGGGGGCTTTGGGCAAAGTGGGGTTAAGTGTCTTGCCCAAGGACACAACGACAGCAGTCATCAGTGGGAGTCGGTGGAGAAGGTGTAGAGGTGGGAATTGAACCCACGACCTTCTGGCCTTAAAGCCTTAAAGCCGATGTAGAGCATGAATAATAGATAATGAATAGACATATATATAATAATAGATAATGAATGTGACATATATATATAGATAATGAATGTGACATATATATATAGATAATGAATGTGACATATATATTTAAAACACATGAACATATAACAAAAATACAAGAATCAAGACTAACGTTTTAGTATTGACATGAATAAACAAGAGTTAAAAAGCCAGAATTAGCGAAGGAGGCAGTTTTTCATCTGTAGTCCCCTGGCCGTGATGTTAAAAAGCCATTAAAATGCATTAAAATACATAACAAAAATACAAGACAAAGACAACATCTATCAATACAAACATTATAGTATTTACATATTAGACAACATTAATTCAAGAATACACTATTTACAAGACTTAAGCACATACTAGACTGAAGCACATTTGCATAACCAGAGCCGTTGTCAGTCAGTACTGCATAAGTGTATTATTATAACATGTTTATTTGATTGGGACAGAACAAAACGCATTATCGTAGGTGACCAATGCCATGTTCATAGTTCATAGTGTAGCTAACAGCTTATTTGCAGACCTGGTCCTTAAAACGTAAAAATACATCACATTTAAATGATAGAGCATTATAAAGAACACAGATTTCACAGTTCATAATATTTACAAAAGACAATTAGAGTCGTTACGATTAGAGAATGTTTTATTCTATCGTTATTATCATGTGTTTTTTGATTCTTCTGTTATTTTCTTGTACAACTGTGTAGAAATGCACTGTTTTAACGGTCGTAATCTTATCCATTATGTATCAGGAATGCCTCACAGTGTGCCTTTAAACTTTATGGCTGAATATAAAAAGATAAAGTGCAAAGTGCTCTGTTGATTTTAGTGCCTAAGTGTTTATCTTAAATAATCAGTTCAGAGTGAATGTTTGCCACAGGCTTTGATGTAGTTGGAAAAAGAAGTAAATCATAAAAGAGAGAAGTATGTTTGTACCGTGAACAGTACGTTCTTGTTTACAAAGCGTCCACATGACTCAGTGCTGACACAGACTCAGAATAATGCTCTCAACAACATTTGAATTTTGCATTTGTCATGTCACCATTACCCATTTCATTTGCTTTGATTAATTCAATAACATAAGGCTTGAAAAAACAAAATAGCAAATACAGTTTCCTCCTCACCCCGTTAGATCTAGTGTGAGAAGCTCAGTTATACAGGAGGAGCTCAGAGTACAGCCGTTGCTCCTCCACATCAAGAGGAGACAGTTGTGGAGGCTCTCTGGGTAGGTGTGCCGGGAGAGGAGACCCTGCAAGACCAAAAGGACACGCTGGAGGAACTCAGTCTCTCCTCTGGATGACTGTTTATGAAAGGGAGGTTTGGGCTCTGCTTAGACTGCCACTGCAACCTGGCCATGGATAAAGCGGAAGAAATGGATGGATTGAAGGAAATATGAATTGACTTGAAGCGGCACGGTGGCGCTGCACTTAGAGTTTTTCTGTGCACTTCTTGTGTTTCACAGCAAAGAGGTCCTGGGTTCGATTCCACCTCCAGGCCTTTCTGTGTGGAGTTTGTATGTTGTCCTTGTGTCTGTGTATAGGTTTCCTGCGGGTGCTCCGGTTTCCTCTACCAAAAAAATTATGTACAATAGGTCTGAATGTAATGAGTGAGTGAATGGATGGTGTTGATGGGGGCTTTGATGGTCCAGTGTGTTCGGCGTCTCGCTTCTGTCATCACCATGTTTGGAGAGAATAGAAAAACATCGGAACTCTGAACATTGTAAAAATGTGGGCTGTAAAAATGTACTATATATATATATATATATATATATAGATAATGAATGTGACAAATAATGTATAAATCAATAAGTGTTGTTCTTTCCAAATCCAAAGGACGAGAGAGCAGACTTTATGTGGAACGCTGTGATCTTCCACTAACGCATGTCATTCTGCAAACCCTGCGGCTCATTGTATCTCTGTGCATAATGGACTTCCTGACAGGCCGCCCTCAGAATGAGCAGTTATAGAACAAGTTAACATAGAAACACACACTGTTGAGTTTATAATAAAATGTGTGTCCCTCGTGTTCATGGAGGAGCACGAGGGACTCACCACATTCATGTAGTTTTTGACTTCACTAAATGACCACGGACAAATATGTAAATCCATAAAGTTGATCTGAAGTGATACTCTGTAGTTTGGCCACTTGTGAAATAATCAATCCTTTTATAATAAACCCTTCTCTACTGCTTTCGTTTTGCTGTGTCAGAAGAACGCTCCCTGCATCCAGCTGTGGCTTCACCTGTGGCTTCACCTGTGGTTTCACCTGTGGCTTCACCTGTGGCTTCACCTGTGGCTTCACCTGTGGCCCAGTGCTACAGCTGCAAATGCTTTATTGCTAAGTTGCCGAGCAAGTGAAAGCTTTGAGTATTCATTTCAATAAATGTATGTCTAGCCCTAGATCACAACAGTAGTTATCTCGGGGAAAGTTGTTGAAGCGCCAACACAGATCAGAGAACCAAACATTTCAAACACACACAAAAAATTCAATGATAAACAACACATAGAGCCATTGATAAAGTAAGACCAATGGCTATAAATGTTAAGCGCTCCCTGTTCGGAACCAGAGCCGTTCTGTGGGCACCTTTCAAATGTGAAAAGTCTCTGGTCAAAACTATGTGCAAATGAACCTTGTCTGATTTGTGTAATGTGTATGATCTTCCTCCAGGACAAAAACTGAGAAGGGTTCAGGGGCCTGATAGAAACATACAAAGGGCCGTATCTGTCCCACTGCCCGGGGTTTTCCCATCACTGGTCTGGTCTATAGTCTAATTGTAAAAAGTAAGGAAAAGCAAGAATAGTTGTATACTTTCTTACTTTTAACTTAAAGAGTAGAAGTAAAATGTAGTGTTACCAGGAACAAAGACACTACTAATAATTATAATTAAATAAAACAGCTATTACAAGATGTATAATTGAAAGAACATTGGCTTTTTATTCGTGCATTACATTGTGAGTTTAACAGGTACACCCACGGACTGTAAATATTAGTACAGCTCCACTTCCACTTCAACGTGTCAAAAGCATAGACGCAAGGTTACCTGGGAAGTGTAGTGTTTTTCAGACTTTGTACGCCTCGCTCAAGTCCCAAATGAAATTGCTCTATTATTGTTAAATCATATACACGCTTTACTGTCACATGGGAAACCTTGTGATGGAAAGACGTCTCAGCCAATCGCTGTGGTGGGTGACTGAAAGGGCTCTCTGATTGGCCGATACGGAGCGTGACGTCAGAGCTTGCATGTATAAATAGGCGGCGCGGCCATCATTCAGTGCTCTTCACAGTATGGCCGGCGATATTAGCTAGCACTCGCTAACGGTATTCTCTGCAAAAGGGAAGACGGCAACTTAAGAATATTAACACCTGGATTGCTTCAAAGGACTGTACATAATAAATAATATCTGCTCGAGGAAGAAAAATAAAGTCAAGCGTTATCATCGACCGACTGATATTGTTGGGTGTCTGTTGTCTCACGATGGAAGATAGCGGTGCACATTTTTTCGAGGGGACTGAGAAGCTGCTGGAGGTGTGGTTCTCCCGTCAGGACGAGACCAAAGGAACCGGCGACCTCCGCTCCATTCCGAGGTTTGTTAGATTCGCGGAGGTGTTGCCCGGTACCGTGGCCGCTGGAGCTGGACCCGGGCTGTAGAACGGCCCCTAGAGGAGCTCCGGGGAACTACACCCACGGCCCTCGCACGCACTCCCAGCACTAATCAGTAGTTTTGTTGTTTTTGTTTATACCCAAGCTGAGTTTGGCTGTATTATTCACTATTGTTAATTGTCACTGTATTGTTGATTGTGAGGCAGCAGCAGTGCGTTGTTCCAGCCCAGTTGTCATTTAGGCCCGTTCACCAAGATGGCTTCTGTTCCACTGTATTTTTTTTTTTTTTTTTTAGACAGCCCGCTCGTATATGATTGTTCTGTCTTCCAAATCTGTCTGTTGGTGCCTGGCGTGTTGCAATACAATACCTGACTCCCAAGTTGAATCTCTTGCCGTGCATCTAACACCATCTTCTTACATCACAACACATTCTTTGGTTGCACTGTCACCTCCACACACACATCACCGTGAGGCAAGAGGAAACCCAAGAAGCACAGGGCCTTGGCAAATACTTTTCACCTCTCCCATTGCCCCAAAGCTGACTCATTAATTTTAAGTCAGTCGCACCTAAAGTAATCCTCATGTCACAACATATCTCATTGTTTAGTGACTGAGTCTGAAATGGTTCTTCTGCTGCTGTTGACACTGTGCTGTTTGTGGCGGTGTTGGGGTTGTTTTTTATAGTAGACTAATGTATCTGAATAATGACTACCTAATTAGTTATAATGTTATGAGGTGTGAATGGTTGGTGCCACTGAAGAATGCGCGGAGGAGCGGACGTGGAAGTTGGAGCTTGCTGTGGGCCGTGGACATGCTTCTTGTCTCACTTTCTTTGATTCTTGCAGGACCAATGTGGCGACCGCGTGGTGCTGAGACATTCCGAGAATATGAGCGGGACGCTTTAGGACTGCGCCCCCTCCCCACAGACCCCCCAGACCCCTTTTATTTTGGCTGGATTAAAGGGCACGTGTGAAAGCATCTAGAATGTTGTAGTAGCGAGAGTAACTTGGTAGTTTGTTTACTACTCTTGACTCTTGTAAACTGTCTTGATTCCTGGCTCGTTCTGGTCACGTTTGCAGCCATGCAGTCGCTCCCTCCCATCGCCTCTGATTGGCCGGAAAAGCTCCTATCGCTGTTGCTTATTTAAATATACATTCGTGGCTTGGGTTTATAAAGTTACGGCTTTAACTACAGATCTATGAATCCTGGCAAGAGGCAGTTGCTGCCTTCTGCATGTCTGCGTGTAATATACTGATACAGTGGAGGTGATGGCAGCTGTCTGATATATATGATGCAGCTGTCCTTCAGCATGTCCCTGTGTCCTCTTACACAGCAGTGTATACTTGTACTTACACAGTCCTGCGCCAAGTGAGCTTCATGGACAGAGGTCTAGAGGGCGGATTAATGGCGAGCAGGCACAGTCAGTGGATCAACCTGCTGGACATCAGCCAATGTCCAAATAAGTCCACAGGGCACCAGCTCATGTGACTACTTTATCAGGGATTTTAGTCCTTATATAATAATCCTCTAGAAAGTGTCTATACAATGTATATGTGTATATATATACAGAGTCAAACTTTCAGCTTCTCATTGCACATTGGTACGAGGGCTGATCCAAAGATGTTTTCTTGGAGTGGCTCTTTGAGGAAAACCGTGTCCCACTGGGCCTCTAGAAATAGCATGCGGTGTGTGTTTCTCTGGGAACTGAGAGATGATCCTGCTCCATCACGGGACCAGGTTCTTGCGTAACTGACTGAAGGTGCATTCAGGTTTCTTTGAGATAATCGTTCTTTCACCTGCTCTAGTTAAAGACTTTCTGTCTGCTCTGTGGACCTGGGCTTGTTCAGGTGGAAAATCTCACACTTCGACTGTTTGGTGATTGAGTTATCAGACAATGAGACTTTCCAGAAGTTTAATGGAGCATTATCTGAGATAAGACTGATAAACAATAGTATAGTATTATATTGATAATTAACTCTAATTGGTGCGGCTCTCACTGTCCATGGGAAAGAGTCCAGAGAGGCCAGAATGAGTGTGACGCAGCTCCCATCTCACTGCAGCAGATCATGGGGGAGGGGGCACTTTGCAGCACTCTGCGCCTGTCTGTCCCAGCTGCTCAAACATGCTCATGATCACATGCCTGTGTTTGCATGTTCTGGCAGACACAGGCTTTAGGTCTGATCTCTTCTTTTAAAACGGCTGATTCACGTCTCTTGCCACTGGCTTTGTGTGTGTTGCCAGTTCTAATGTTGTGTTGTCTCGTGTTGTTATAACGTCACTGTTATAATGGAATCAGAGGAATTCTCTGGTCCAAGAACATTTGTGATTTAACCGATGCACTGTTTGGGTTTGAAAAATGTTGTGACTTTTTTATCATTGGGCAACATTGATCGGTGTCTTAGTGTTTGAACTTGTATAGAATTTCAGCCAAGCTGCTTTAACAAATATAACACGTGAAGAATAAAAGGCCATGGCCAAAAAGTAATCACACAACCTCATTAAAAGGTGCAAATAAATCTAGTTTCAGAACAACATAAATCCACTGAAAACACGCCTAACGGTTAGAAAAAATGTTTGTTACAGGAAGTTTTTGTTTTATGTGTTTCAGGTTTGAGTGGGACAAACTGTTGGAGAATGTGCATTGTTTGATTATAAGTGTGACGAAGACAGACAAGCAAGAAGCTTATATACTCAGGTAAGTACTCTTTGCTGAAGCTTTAGGTCGTTCTGCAGCGAACACGGCGCTTTCACAAGTTTATGGCTTTGCGATCGTTGTTTTTTAAAATCCATCCATCCATCCATTTTCTACCCTTTAATCCATTTCTGGGTCAGGGGGGTGGCAATCAGAGATGCCACCCAAGTCTCATAGCACCAGCCCCTGGTGCTAAATCCATTAGTTTTTAATTGTCACGGTCTTGATTGAATTCCATTTCTGCCGCTCCAGTCACGCTATGTATCATGGGGCCGTAGTGCTAATGCTAATGTTCAGTAAGCACAGAACTAGCCAAACAAGCTAGTTCAGGGCCTTCGGCTGGCTTAAAGTTGGACTGAAAAGACAAAATGAATGAGGCCAATTCCAGCTCTGAATGGTTGATTACTCGGATCAGGCAGAGTTCAGATATGCCCCAGTAATGAGCATTAAGTCTGTGATCCAGAAATACTTCCTGGATTGTTGGTGAACCAATCGATTTGATGAAATGGAGAAGACTGTGGTGGTGGCAGTGTCTTTGTGAAACATGAACTTGGATCATATACTCTTCGTTTGCCCATCCACGTCTCGGTGCGACGGGTTCTAATGTGTTATTTATGGTTCTCAGCAGGACGTTATAGCAGCTCCTGAAAATGTGGACATTTGGATCCTTCTTAAACACCTGCACTTTGAGGGTCAACTTTTCCAGATTATTCTTATTGGTCTTTGTCTCATGAGCTCAAAGAACTGGTCAGAACTTCATCGGACTAGAACAGTGGTTCTGTAGAAGGCGATGTGAGACGGTTCATGTTATACAGACTTTTATAAACTGCAGCAGAACGGACTTCAGACGAGTGTCTCCAGTCAGGGACAGGAAACTGTTCTTTTGGACAGTGCAGAACGGAGTCATTTTCTTATCAGCGATTTGTGTCTCAGTCGATAAACGACGTCATGAATCCACCATTTTGTCTGTTTCCACAGTGAGAGTAGCATGTTTGTCTCCAAGAGACGTTTCATTTTGAAAACGTGCGGAACCACCCTTTTGCTGCAAGCACTGGTCCCTCTGCTGGAGTTGGCCCGGGAGTATAGTGGCTTTGATGCTATTGAGGTGAGTGAGGATTCCAGAACATGTTGAACACTTTCTCCGCACAATGACGTTCATTTGGAATCATTTACGTTGCAGAATTTTTTTTACTCTCGTAAAAACTTCATGAAGCCAACACACCAGGAATTCCCTCATCGAAACTTTCAAGAAGAGGTGGACTTCCTCAGCGAGATTTTCCCAAGTACGTGGTATTGTCTTTTATACTGTGTGTATGTGTGTGTGTGTGTGTGTGTGTGTGTGTGTGAAATGCAGTTTCTGAAGTGTGCGTCTGTGCAGATGGAGCATCCTACTGTATGGGACGGCTGAACTCTGACTGCTGGTAGGTTCCTCTCTTGTTTGGAGTTTGTGGCTATAATAAGAACTATAATAATGGGTTTGTATTCAGGTACTTGTTCACTCTGGATCTGCCGGATTACTGGCAGAACAAGCACGCTGACCAGACCCTGGAAGTTCTGATGAGCCACCTGGACCCAGCAATCATGGACCAGTTCTTTATGAAAGACGGTGTTTCCGCAAGTGATGTCACTCGTGTAAGAACCTCTGGTGGGTCTGGGGGATCCGTGCGCCGTGGACTCATGCACTTTCTGTTTCTCTGCAGATGAGTGGAATTCGTGACCTGATTCCAGGTTCAGTGATTGACGCCACATTGTTTAACCCATGTGGCTACTCCATGAACGGCATGAAGAATGATGTAAGTATTTCCCCTTTCACTTCCTGTTCAGGCTTAGTGGTGTCAAACCAGCGATATGGAGAGTGGCCCAGAGAGTGGCCCGGAGAGTGGCCCGGAGAGTGGCCCGGAGAGTGGCCCGGAGAGTGGCCCGGAGAGTGGCCCGGAGAGTGGCCCGGAGAGTGGCCCGGAGAGTGGCCCGGAGAGTGGCCCGGAGAGTGGCCCGGAGAGTGGCCCGGAGAGTGGCCCGGAGAGTGGCCCGGAGAGTGGCCCGGAGAGTGGCCCGGAGAGTGGCCCGGAGAGTGGCCCGGAGAGTGGCCCGGAGAGTTTTTAGGTACACGGTGGCTGAGTGTTTAGCACTCTTGCTTCTCAGCAAGAAGGTCCTGGGTTCGAATCCTGGTCGGAAAAGGGTCTTTCTGAGTGGAGTTTGCATGTTCTCCCCGTGTCTGCTTAGGTTTCCTCCGGGTGCTCCATTTTCCTCTACCACAAAAATACGTACAATAGTTCAGGATTAATGAGTGTGTGTTTGGGATAGTTTCCAGTCGCACTCACTAAGTACAATCTGGAGTGACGGGTTCATTAACATGTTCTGTCCCAACCAATTAAACTACAGACACTGATCATACAAAAAGAACGCTGGTGGTAAACTTGTATTTTAATGTCACAAACACAAAAAGAAGCAAAGGATTTCTCAAGTTTCTACGACACCAGGAGCGAGTCGGACTGGTTTAACGGCTGCTGGTTTTACCTCCGTGTCTAATGGTTTGGTTTTCTTAGGGAACCTACTGGACAATCCACATTACTCCAGAGCCCGAGTTCTCCTATGTCAGCTTTGAGACTAACCTGTCCCAGACTTCTTACGATGACCTGATTCGCAAAGTGGTGGAAGTCTTCAAACCGGGAAAGTTTGTCACAACCCTTTTTGTCAATCAGGTAACGAGCGTTTTTATCAGTTGTGATAAAGTTTGAAGTTCAAATGACCAAATATCTGTGGTAGCCATATCTATCCCCATGTTTTAATCACACTCTGTACCAGATAAACAACAAAGGAAAATCATTACTTAAACACGAGGACTGAAACTACCATCTGTCATTCTGAAAAAATCATTCAATATATTTATTCACAAATAATTTTCTACATGTTTTTTGCCTTAAGTGCTAAAACTGGTGAATGAAACTTGAAAAACAGGAACACAGTTTGTTGAAAGGCTAATTACTAACTGCTGTCAAGTAAACGTGTGTTGCTACGGTAACCAGCGGCTAGTAATTCTACTCTCTGGAAGAACCAGCACGAGAGTTGCTATAAGAAGTTGGACCAAATGGATATGTCTGAATTATACAATAAAATGGAAGTTAAAGGTAGAACTTTAGGACAATTTTATACAAATAATGACATAACTAACTACATAAAGTTCTAAGGTTAGGAGGACTGTACATGAGCTGAGTAATGGCACATCCAGAACTGTAAACTTGACATGAGACCTTGCGGATTATAGAAGCCCTAAATGATAATAAACATAATCAGAAGTGCCCTGTTTTCTCTCTGGTGAAACCCACCTACCCTGGTATCTGTTTCTAAACTAAAATGATATTAAACTGACGTGTGTTGGTCCCTCAGAGCTCCAAGTGCCGCAGTGTCTTCTCTTCCGCCGAGAAACTGGACGGCTACAAGAAAGTGGACCGGCAGTTGGCTCAATTCAACGACTACAACTTTGTCTTTACCAGCTACGCCCAGAGGTGTCCACAGAACCAGAAGAGCTGAGGGCGTCCCACGTGTCTTCCCCGTACTGCCCCCCCCCCCCCCCCCCCCCCTGCTCTGCCGTCCGGCTGGAGCGGCCGGGCCATAGTTCAAGCCTCTCTCCGGCTTGTCGTACCTGTGACCTTGATTAATTGCATGAAAGCTCTTCTCTGTTTCAATATTCTAGCTCACTCTTGCTGTGATGAAGTGCATGTAGAAGAACTGGAGGCGCTGTGGCCAGTCCCCTCTGGTCCCTGAGGACCGGGCCTGGTCTTTGGCATGCTCAGGAAGCCGGGCTCTTTGATCCTCACCACGGGGCGTCTCTCTGAGCGCACTTTACCTGTACACTGTATGAACAGAGTGAATGTAAACATAGCTGTGAGTCCCTTCTGTACTTTGGGCAAAGACTAAAGCCTCTGTCTGTGGCTTCTCTGCTTTGCCGCCGCCTTCATCCTCTCCTGATGATCACATTCTGTGTAGAGCTATATCAAATAATCGGCCTATTTCATACAGTAACATGTATTTATGGGATTCTTCTGGAAAAGTCCCCCTCCATCCAGTCATATTCAGCTGATCTTTCTGCTTTCACATGAGTTGGTCCAATGGAAGTTTGGGGTCATACATGGAGAGAAAAGCCTGGAGGTGGCTCCCTCTGCAGGTCCTGTCGTGCCACAGACTCTGGCAATGGCACCAATGGATCCCACACTTTTGCTTAGCCCAGCGCTTGCCCAGCAAAGCTTTTTTCTTTTGGTGGCATTATAGCCACGTGTGTGTCTTTCTGCCCCATACATAAATGTAGAGACAAAAGAGGCCCAGCAGTCTGAGCATGCCAGGGTGATCCCGGATCATTCCACACATCACTGTTGCAAAAACTGCCGTTTTATTCCATTTATTGAATTGGTCTCATTGTGTTTATTCTTTGTGGGGCCTGTGACTGAGTGTCTTCCTCCTGTGTCCCTGGCTCCTGGTGCTTCCACTCCTGAAAAGCACCGTCTTTTTGAGCAGCTAGAAGAGTGGCAGAGTTTGGAACAGGACTGAGGACCAAAAGCTGCCTCACTTTGACAACATGCTTATATTTGAAGTGTTTGTTTTAGTGTGAAGGGAAATAAAGCCAGCACTCTGGGTTCATGCCGTCGCTGACATCTGCGTATAAAGATGGTGGCAAAGGTCAATGGTTTTTAAAGGGCCATCTTCGTATGTTTACTGAGTTTTTTTTAAATTTTATTTACAAAGCTAATTTTGTATCCACGCTGCGGACCAATCTCATTTGTCTGTGGTTCTGTTCGGTTTGTTCTTTAGTTAGCACCGACTGAGGGAGAGTGGCAGGAGCCCGGGCCATACATGGGGAAAACTTGGCTGTTCACTTCTTTCTTTTGCTGTTCTTTGGATGGTCAAGAAGATGTGCTAAATATCTGTGTTTCCACCTTCAGGCTTCAATAAAAAAGTACTTGTCAACGAGTTTTATTGGTATTTATAATAAAAGAAAATGCAATAAAAGGGTACGGAACACACTGGACAAGAGTCATGCTTTATCATATTTATATCATATATCAGTGCTTTGTTCAAAATACTGAGGCTTCAATAAAAGTTTCTAACAGTTTGAATAAGCAGAAAGTTTGGCTTTTACATGTACAAACACTAAACCAAACCCAATAATTATTTTATATCCAAACAGTTACTGCTGAGTGTGTTGCACTTTGGTCTAGTTCACGCTTCACGGTTAAGGGTCTTGTGAATTGGTCGAATTATAAACAACCAAAAATGCTTCATATGGCATTTTTTCACCTATCCCAACCTAGAATCAGAATGAGACCTTTGTAACAGTCGCAAACAAGTCATAAACAAAATCATACATCAAAACAGAAGTTCAAAGACAGACTTGTACTGTAGCCACAGCTGCCCTGAGGCAAACTGACAGAAGTCTATGCCATCAGTCATGCTCTGGGGTCTGGACTGATATAACGGTTAAGGGTCTTGTGAGATTTCATAACACTTTGAAGCAACTTTTGTTAAAGTTAAACTCATCATTCTATCAATGTGCAGAAGCCTGTACCTTTCCCTTGTTGTGTCTATCTGAAGGCCAAGCTACATGGCACTGTGGCAGCTGCTGATTGGAGGTCTCCATGCCTCCGCTCTGTATAATACACTTGCATTCTGTGTTTGTGTTGTTCGTGCTGTCTCTACCATCAACAATAAAACATGTCTTCTGTCTGAATGAAAGACGCAATCCCAGACTATGTCATCTTCTTCAGTCTTTCCTAAAGGAGATGCCCACAGACACCTGCTGTTCCCAGAGGTCTCCCATCACAGAGATAACCAGGACATATCCTGCTCAACTCCTGCGATATGACGAAGACAAAGTTAATCTGGGACATCAATAGGTTTCCTTACAATTTGAGGTTGTGTCCTGTAATCACATCATTGATCTAAAGGTTATTATTATTATTATTATTATTAAACTGAACAATGTTTGTGCAAATTACTATAATACGAATAAGTCATGTTTATTTATATGGCGCCTTTCAAAGTGCAAAGTATCACTCTGGGATGAGCTTCTCAGTCTCTGCACATTTAGAGTCTGTTGAGGTCTCCTCATGTGCCTCTGTGTTCATGAAGATGTGTTTTTATCTGTGTGTTTGTGGTTCTGTGGAAACAAATAAACTGTACTTATCACAACCATACATCGATTTATACAAGGTCCATATAAAACAAAATAATGATACTTTGATACAAACTGTTTTCAGAGTTATTTTTATGCATGTTATCACAGAGTTGTTGTGGTTTCAAAGTTAGGTGCCCCAGCTTTAATGGACTGTAGGGGGCGCCAGTCTGTGTCCAGGGTTCAGCGGAGACAGAAGTACTTCCGGTGGAGGAGACTCACGTGTGAAATATACAGTCTGTGCTAAAAGCAAACCACAGCTGCACGTTACAGTCACACATTTGTATTATCCTCAAACGGACTGAGCTTTTGCATTATCAAAGGAAAAGGAGCCGTTAAAATGACGCAGTTGGACGGAATCACGTGAGTCTGATAATATCTGATAAACTATAATAATATATATCTGATCTGTATAAACTCATAGATCTATGTCCAAGGATAGTTTCTCTATTTTGTTTTTTAAAGTCAACCTTTTATATCTTTACAAACAGACACGGCCTCTCTCAGGTTCAGCTCAGAGTCAGAATAAGTTTATTTTAGAACAAGGAATAGATGAATTATAGTCTCTTTAAAGCATAGGAACATTAAAAAGAACCCGGTTCAACCTGGGCCTGTACCTAACACTGCTCGGTTAATCGATCACTTCTAGCTCTAGTCATTTCTTGGCACAGCATCATCTGCGTCCAAGCCAATTTAAAGTTCTTCATGAGACAAAGTAAAAAGTCTAAATACATTAAAAGCTCAACAAAAAGGTAACGCAGATTAAAATACATCAATTTCATATTAAAACAGTGCTGCACAAACGTATCGGGCTATAGGTGTAGTATATAGGATTTTCTACTTCCGGGTGGATCATAAAGACGATTGGTCCTCCCACTTGTCAATCATTCTGGTGCTACGTGCTCGTCCAATCAGACTAGAGAGTTTTGTCAAAGTGTTGAGGGCGGTTCTTTCTAAAATTTGGGAAAATTCTCCTTTAGACCTTTTTAAAATATGATTAAAAATTGAGTTTATAAAAAGATAAATAGTACAAAATAGAATCTGTCGAACCCTAGAGATAGGGTGAGGAGCTCAGTCACACGGGAGGAGCTCGGAGTAGAGCCGCTGCTTCCTTAGAGATAGGGTGAGGATTCCAGTCACACGGGAGGAGCTCGCTGCTTCTCCACGTAGAGAGGAACCAGTTGAGGTGGCTCGGGCATCTGTTCCGGATGCCTCCTGGACGCCTCCCTGGGGAGGTGTTCCGGGCACGTCCCACCGGGAGGAGGCCCCGGGGAAGACCCACGACACGCTGGAGAGACTATGTCTCTCAGCTGGCCTGGGAACGCCTTGGGGTCCCCCCGGACGAGCTGGAGGAGGTGTGTGTGGATAGGGAAGTCTGGGCGTCTCTGCTTAGACTGCTGCCCCCGTGACCCGGCAACGGATAAAGCGGAAGAAAATGGATGGATGGAGAATCTGTCGAATGCACAGCTAAACGTGTAACACTGCTTCTGGACATGGGCAGGGCAGAGGCCTGTCTCACAACCTCAGGAAGACTGTTCTGTAGTTTAGCTGCTAAGATCTGAACAAATGTCACACGTTATGACAGATCCATGGTTATGACAGATCCATGGTTATGATAGATCCATGGTTATGATAGATCCATGGTTATGACAGATCCATGGTTATGATAGATCCATGGTTATGACAGATCCATGGTTATGATAGATCCATGGTTATGACAGATCCATGGTTATGACAGATCCATGGTTATGATAGATCCATGGTTATGACAGATCCATGGTTATGACAGATCCATGGTTATGACAGATCCATGGTTATGACAGATCCATGGTTATGATAGATCCATGGTTATGATAGATCCATGGTTATGACAGATCCATGGTTATGATAGATCCATGGTTATGATAGATCCATGGTTATGACAGATCCATGGTTATGATAGATCCATGGTTATGACAGATCCATGGTTATGATAGATCCATGGTTATGATAGATCCATGGTTATGATAGATCCATGGTTATGACAGATCCATGGTTATGACAGATCCATGGTTATGACAGATCCATGGTTATGATAGATCCATGGTTATGATAGATCCATGGTTATGACAGATCCATGGTTATGACAGATCCATGGTTATGATAGATCCATGGTTATGATAGATCCATGGTTATGATAGATCCATGGTTATGACAGATCCATGGTTATGACAGATCCATGGTTATGACAGATCCATGGTTATGATAGATCCATGGTTATGATAGATCCATGGTTATGACAGATCCATGGTTATGACAGATCCATGGTTATGACAGATCCATGGTTATGACAGATCCATGGTTATGACAGATCCATGGTTATGACAGATCCATGGTTATGACAGATCCATGGTTATGACAGATCCATGGTTATGACAGATCCATGGTTATGACAGATCCATGGTTATGACAGATCCATGGTTATGACAGATCCATGGTTATGACAGATCCATGGTTATGATAGATCCATGGTTATGATAGATCCATGGTTATGACAGATCCATGGTTATGACAGATCCATGGTTATGACAGATCCATGGTTATGACAGATCCATGGTTATGACAGATCCATGGTTATGACAGATCCATGGTTATGACAGATCCATGGTTATGACAGATCCATGGTTATGACAGATCCATGGTTATGACAGATCCATGGTTATGACAGATCCATGGTTATGACAGATCCATGGTTATGACAGATCCATGGTTATGACAGATCCATGGTTATGACAGATCCATGGTTATGACAGATCCATGGTTATGACAGATCCATGGTTATGACAGATCCATGGTTATGACAGATCCATGGTTATGACAGATCCATGGTTATGATAGATCCATGGTTATGATAGATCCATGGTTATGACAGATCCATGGTTATGACAGATCCATGGTTATGACAGATCCATGGTTATGACAGATCCATGGTTATGACAGATCCATGGTTATGACAGATCCATGGTTATGACAGATCCATGGTTATGACAGATCCATGGTTATGACAGATCCATGGTTTTGACAGATCCATGGTTATGATAGATCCATGGTTATGATAGATCCATGGTTATGACAGATCCATGGTTATGACAGATCCATGGTTATGACAGATCCATGGTTATGACAGATCCATGGTTATGACAGATCCATGGTTATGACAGATCCATGGTTATGACAGATCCATGGTTATGACAGATCCATGGTTATGATAGATCCATGGTTATGATAGATCCATGGTTATGACAGATCCATGGTTATGACAGATCCATGGTTATGATAGATCCATGGTTATGATAGATCCATGGTTATGATAGATCCATGGTTATGATAGATCCATGGTTATGATAGATCCATGGTTATGATAGATCCATGGTTATGACAGATCCATGGTTATGACAGATCCATGGTTATGACAGATCCATGGTTATGACAGATCCATGGTTATGACAGATCCATGGTTATGATAGATCCATGGTTATGACAGATCCATGGTTATGACAGATCCATGGTTATGACAGATCCATGGTTATGACAGATCCATGGTTATGATAGATCCATGGTTATGACAGATCCATGGTTATGACAGATCCATGGTTATGACAGATCCATGGTTATGACAGATCCATGGTTATGACAGATCCATGGTTATGACAGATCCATGGTTATGACAGATCCATGGTTATGACAGATCCATGGTTATGACAGATCCATGGTTATGACAGATCCATGGTTATGACAGATCCATGGTTATGACAGATCCATGGTTATGACAGATCCATGGTTATGACAGATCCATGGTTATGACAGATCCATGGTTATGACAGATCCATGGTTATGACAGATCCATGGTTATGACAGATCCATGGTTATGACAGATCCATGGTTATGACAGATCCATGGTTATGACAGATCCATGGTTATGACAGATCCATGGTTATGACAGATCCATGGTTATGACAGATCCATGGTTATGACAGATCCATGGTTATGACAGATCCATGGTTATGACAGATCCATGGTTATGACAGATCCATGGTTATGACAGATCCATGGTTATGACAGATCCATGGTTATGACAGATCCATGGTTATGACAGATCCATGGTTATGACAGATCCATGGTTATGACAGATCCATGGTTATGACAGATCCATGGTTATGACAGATCCATGGTTATGACAGATCCATGGTTATGACAGATCCATGGTTATGACAGATCCATGGTTATGACAGATCCATGGTTATGACAGATCCATGGTTATGACAGATCCATGGTTATGACAGATCCATGGTTATGACAGATCCATGGTTATGACAGATCCATGGTTATGACAGATCCATGGTTATGACAGATCCATGGTTATGACAGATCCATGGTTATGACAGATCCATGGTTATGACAGATCCATGGTTATGACAGATCCATGGTTATGACAGATCCATGGTTATGACAGATCCATGGTTATGACAGATCCATGGTTATGACAGATCCATGGTTATGACAGATCCATGGTTATGACAGATCCATGGTTATGACAGATCCATGGTTATGACAGATCCATGGTTATGACAGATCCATGGTTATGACAGATCCATGGTTATGACAGATCCATGGTTATAATTCAAATAACTTCTATAAAATGACATTCTGATTTATTATCTGTGTATCGAGGATAAAACAAAACTAGAATCTCTTTCCTGAAATGACAGTCAGTGTCTCAAAGGCGTTGATGATGTTCTTTGTTGTTCTAAGGAAACCAAAGACAAAACGCTCAAAGCGGTTTTTGGAAAGCAGAGCGCCGAGACTGAGCGAGGACCTGAAGAACGCCATGATCATGAAAGGAGGCAACACGAGCGAGACGGTCACTCAGGCGCTGAAAGACATGGTACAGTCCTCTGCCCCGGCGCCCCCTCTGCCCCGGCGCCCCCTCTGCCCCGGCGCCCCCTCTGCCCCGGCGCCCCCTCTGCCCCGGCGCCCCCTCTGCCCCGGCGCCCCCTCTGCCCCGGTGCCCCCTCTGCCCCAGTGCCCCACCCACGCTGCTCATGGCCATCGGAAGATTAGAGGAACTCGCCCATATTTGGTCATTTCTCTGGTTCTCCCGGTTCTGTGCAGTGGACGAGCTCCCATGATGCTTTGCGCCAAATACAAGTGTGTGGCTCTCATGCACGTGCACAGAGGGCAGCGTCCTTTAGGAAAGCTGTAGGTTCTCTGTCAGGTTCTCAATGTTAGTTTACATTGAGTTCTTGGGGATAATCTCTGCAGTCCTCGTGAATTTAGTCTGGTTTAGTGCAGTACCATGAGAATCCCCCGAGCACATGGTCCTTCAGTAATACCATATCCAGATGTTGTAATCGATCCATGCTAATATCACTTAAGGCTGCACTAGCTAACTTTGAAACCACAAAGTTAAAAATAAATGAACTAGTTCCTTTCATAATATACGTCTTAAGAAGCTATGTATAAAAATCGGTCTATATGAGCTTCCTCCGCAGAGTGGCTGCTAGCTCAGTCACACGGGAGGAGCTCGGAGTAGAGCCGCTGCTTCTCTAAGGCGAGAGGAGGTAGTTGAGGTGGCTCGGGCCTCTGTTCCGGATGCCTCTTGGACACATCTCTGGGGAGTTCCAAGCACGTCCCACCAGGAAGAGACCCCAGGGAAGACCAGGACACACTGGAGGGACCATTTCAGGATTCCCCCAGATGAGCTGGAGGAAGTGTGTGAGAGGGAAGTCTGAGGGTCTCTGCTCAGACTGCTGCCCCCGCGAATAAAGAAGAGAATGCTTATATTCAAGTGCGGCTTGTATTCAAGTGCGGCTTGTATTCAAGTGCGGCTTGTATTCAAGTGCGGCTTGTATTCAAGTGCGGCTTGTATTCAAGTGCGGCTTGTATTCAAGTGCGGCTTGTATTCAAGTGCGGCTTATATTCAAGTGCGGCTTATATTCAAGTGCGGCTTATATTCAAGTGCGGCTTATATTCAAGTGCGGCTTATATTCAAGTGCGGCTTATATTCAAGTGCGGCTCATATTCAAGTGCGGCTCATATTCAAGTGCGGCTCATATTCAAGTACGGCTCATATTCAAGTACGGCTCATATTCAAGTACGGCTTATATTCAAGTGCGGCTTATATGTAGACAAAAAGTACTTTTCCTGCTTAGCTTAGTTTACAGGTGTGCTCAATAGTCCAGAAAGTACTGTAATGAGTTGTTTTGTGTGTTTGCAGTATTCCTTAAAGAAGCCCAATGCTGTGCTGTATAAGAAGTGAGTAAAGTCTGCAGTAAAACTCTGAGAAACTGAACGTGGCTCAAAGTCTGGTGTTTTTCAGAAAGAACATCACTCGGCCGTTTGAGGACTCCACTTCTCTGGTCGGCAGATAATGCACCTTCACTGAAGATTCACGACACACGATTGTTGCTAATCATTTTGATGTTTCCACAGGAGTTTTTCTCTAAAAAGACAGACAGCTCGTTGTTTTTATTTGGATCACACAACAAGAAGAGGCCAAACAATTTCATATTTGGTAAAAAGCCAAAGATTCCTTCACATGCAGATGGTTCAGTCCAGATTCTCACACTCTGTTTCTTCTGCAGGACGTATGTTCGACTTTCACGTGTTAGACATGGTTGAACTTGGCATTGAAAAGTATGCTCCCCTGAAACAATTTAAGGTAAGATTAAGAACTGGTACTATGTATTTAATTTCCAAGCGTGGGTCTAATGAATAAGTTTGTTTCAGACGGAGACGTGTCCTGAAGGCACCAAACCGATGCTGGTGTTCGCAGGAGAAGCCTTCAACATGGACTTTGAACTGAAGCGTCTGAAGAGTTTGCTCATAGGTACGGACTCGGTCATATAGTCTCGTGTGTTCCCTTATGGACAGGGGAACTCTGCAAACTAGAACTTCTGTTTGTTTATGGATTTCATCTTAAAATGGGAAACTATTCTACAATATGCTCCTTCATGTTCCTTCACCAAAGGGAGCACACATGTTTTGTCCTCTGGCCGTTTGGTCCCTGAGCGTTTACTGCGCGCATAGGGACGTAACTGCAGTCTCCCACACACCCGTCACACACACGTCGCACACACCCGTCGCACACACGTCACACACACCCGTCACACACACCCGTCACACACACGTCACACACACCCGTCACACACACCCGTCGCACACACGTCGCACACACCCGTCACACACACCCGTCGCACACCCGTCGCACACACGTCACACACACCCGTCACACAACACACCCGTCGCACACACGTCGCACACCCCACCACACACGTCACACACACCCGTCACACACACCCGTCGCACGTCACACACACCCGTCACGTACACACGTCACACACACCCGTCGCACGTCACACACACCCGTCACGTACACACGTCACACACACCCGTCGCACACACACACCCGTCACACACACCCGTCGCACACCCGTCACACACACGTCACACACACACCCGTCACACACACCCGTCGCACACACGTCACACACACACCCGTCGCACACACGTCACACACACCCGTCGCACACACCCGTCGCACACACCGTCACACACACCCGTCGCACACACGTCACACACACCCGTCGCACACACGTCACACACACCCGTCGCACACACGTCACACACACCCGTCGCACACACACACCCGTCGCACACACGTCACACACACCCGTCACACACACCCGTCGCACACACGTCGCACACACGTCACACACACACCCGTCACACACACCCGTCGCACGTCACACACACCCGTCACGTACACACGTCACACACACCCGTCGCACGTCACTCACACCCGTCACGTACACACGTCACACACACCCGTCGCACACACGTCACACACACCCGTCGCACACACGTCACACACACCCGTCGCACACACGTCACACACACCCGTCACACACACCCGTCGCACACACGTCACACACCCGTTGCACACACCCGTCGCACACACGTCACACACACCCGTCACACACACCCGTCGCACGTCACACACACCCGTCACGTACACACGTCACACACACCCGTCGCACGTCACACACACCCGTCACGTACACACGTCACACACACCCGTCGCACACACGTCACACACACCCGTCGCACACACGTCACACACACCCGTCGCACACCCGTCGCACACACGTCACACACACCCGTCACACACACCCGTCGCACACACGTCGCACACACCCGTCGCACACACGTCACACACACCCGTCACACACACCCGTCACACACACGTCACACACACCCGTCACGTACACACGTCACACACACCCGTCGCACACACGTCACACACACCCGTCACGTACACACGTCACACACACCCGTCGCACACACGTCGGGTCTGAGCAGCCGCCTCCTCAGTCTTGGATCGTGGACACGGCTCGTAAATCACTTTGTAGCGCTCTCGTTTACATGAGACCTGGAAGCGCCGGTCCGCTCGCTGAAACAGGCCGGGTCACTCGGACAGACCCGGGCGCACAGACCCCTGTCCGCTCGCTGAAACAGGCCGGGTCACTCGGACAGACCCGGGCGCACAGACCCCTGTCCGCTCGCTGAAACAGACCGGGTCACTCGGACAGACCCGGGCGCACAGACCCCTGTCCGCTCGCTGAAACAGACCGGGTCACTCAGACAGACCCGGGCGCACAGACCCCTGTCCGCTCGCTGAAACAGACCGGGTCACTCAGACAGACCCGGGCGCACAGACCCCTGTCCGCTCGCTGAAACAGACCGGGTCACTCGGACAGACCCGGGCGCACAGACCCCTGTCCGCTCGCTGAAACAGACCGGGTCACTCGGACAGACCCGGGCGCATAGACCCCTGTCCGCTCGCTGAAACAGACCGGGTCACTCAGACAGACCCGGGCGCATAGACCCCTGTCCGCTCGCTGAAACAGGCCGGGTCACTCGGACAGATCCGGGCGCACAGCCCTGTCCGCTCGCTGAAACAGACCGGGTCACTCGGACAGATCCGGGCGCACAGACCCCTGTCCGCTCGCTGAAACAGACCGGGTCACTCGGACAGATCCGGGCGCACAGACCCCTGTCCGCTCGCTGAAACAGGCCGGGTCACTCAGACAGCCCGGGCGCACAGACCCCTGTCCGCTCGCTGAAACAGACCGGGTCACTCGGACAGATCCGGGCGCACAGACCCCTGTCCGCTCGCTGAAACAGACCGGGTCACTCAGACAGACCCGGGCGCACAGACCCCTGTCCGCTCGCTGAAACAGACCGGGTCACTCAGACAGACCCGGGCGCACAGACCCCTGTCCGCTCGCTGAAACAGGCCGGGTCACTCGGACAGATCCGGGCGCACAGACCCCTGTCCGCTCGCTGAAACAGACCGGGTCACTCGGACAGACCCGGGCGCACAGACCCCTGTCCGCTCGCTGAAACAGACCGGGTCACTCAGACAGACCCGGGCGCACAGACCCCTGTCCGCTCGCTGAAACAGGCCGGGTCACTCGGACAGACCCGGGCGCACAGACCCCTGTCCGCTCGCTGAAACAGACCGGGTCACTCGGACAGACCCGGGCGCACAGACCCCTGTCCGCTCGCTGAAACAGACCGGGTCACTCGGACAGATCCGGGCGCACAGACCCCTGTCCGCTCGCTGAAACAGACCGGGTCACTCAGACAGACCCGGGCGCACAGACCCCTGTCCGCTCGCTGAAACAGACCGGGTCACTCGGACAGACCCGGGCGCACAGACCCCTGTCCGCTCGCTGAAACAGACCGGGTCACTCAGACAGACCCGGGCGCACAGACCCCTGTCCGCTCGCTGAAACAGGCCGGGTCACTCGGACAGACCCGGGCGCACAGACCCCTGTCCGCTCGCTGAAACAGACCGGGTCACTCGGACAGACCCGGGCGCACAGACCCCTGTCCGCTCGCTGAAACAGACCGGGTCACTCGGACAGACCCGGGCGCACAGACCCCTGTCCGCTCGCTGAAACAGACCGGGTCACTCGGACAGACCCGGGCGCACAGACCCGGGCGCACAGACCCGGGCGCACAGACCCCTGCCCAGCCCTGACATGTGCCTCTCCTGCAGACTTCTTCCGGGGCCCTAAGGTGGAGGGCGTGCGGTTAGCTGGACTGGAGCATGTTCTACACTTCACGGCATTAGACAACAGGATATACATGCGCAGTTACAGGTGTGTGGCTAACCAGGAGCTTCCCATCATGCATTATGGTTATTACATTATGACCACAGAGATGGTTTGGTTTGTGCAGGTGTGTCCTGAAGAAGTCTGGGTGTCGGACGCCCAGGATTGAGCTGGAGGAGATGGGTCCGTCGTTTGACTTTGTGGTGAGAAGAACACACCTGGCCTCAGAGCAGCTCTACAAACTGGCTCATCGACAGCCCAAGGCCCTGAAGGTAAGGATCTATCACCACAAGGTAGCACTGGGATCAGGGCGGCCTGAACTTGGCTCGGCTTGGCTCAGATGCACTGTCTTTAGTGTTATCTTATCTTATGGTTCTGCTAGAAGATACATGTGACATCACAGATAGAATCTCACAGATTGTCCATAAAGTGTGAAACATGTTAACTCATTAACTCACAGCCGTTTTTAAAGATTTCACTGACTTTCAAGACTCACAGAATATTTTCTGCTATGGCGATGTGAAATATGAAACCAGATTCTGAAAGACTGGACTGTACTTTCATCAGCAAAATTATGTTGGTTTCTAGCTAGTTTTGTTCTCCTGTTATCCCCAGTGGAATGGAGGGAAGTTTGAGACAGTCTCAGACAAATACGTCAGTGGCAGTTAAATGTTAAAACTATAGTCTGTACAATGAAAAGTGGCAGTTAAAGAAACAGTGTTTATAGCAGTGCAGGCTAATTTTCAACACTTGTCCTCAGAAGGCTTTTAGGACACACATGCGCACATTTAAAATGTACAAATATAAAGGTAATTAAATATACAGTTAATTTAAAAGCTCCGATTTCAGCCACAGTTTCAGACAAAGATGTTTAAGTCTGTTTGTAGTTTTAGGTCAGTTTGCGGGTTATTCTTAGAACCATGCGATAAACGAGAGACCGTTGTGTATTCATCATTACAAAGAATATATAGTGATTACTGATGAGAGCTCCATTTGTCAGTTAAATGCTGTGCAGTAGATCGTGAAATATATAACATAAAATAAATTTCATGTCTAGTCACAAAGATTCAAAAAGGTTCATTTTGTGTTGAGTTAAAATGCTTTTTTTGGTTCTTTTGAGAAAACATGTGAACGAGGTCTACACACATCTAAACTCTTAAAGAACTACAAAAAGAAAAGAGACTCACTTCCCGCTGAGCTTTGGCGGTAGATGACCTCCAGGGGGCAGCATCATCCAGAATGACTCACTGCTTCACCACAAGAGTCTTCCATGTTTCCGTGATAAGATTTATTTGATTCTAGATGACACTGAACTGCTGTTTTTCATCCCAATGTTGCAATCTTTGCTCTGACATTATAATATTTGGATCAGGTTTTCTGGTACCAGCTTCTGTCTGGCTCCAGTTTGTGCTCAGAGATACTGCAGCCAAAGTTCACATGAGCTGACCATGTTTTCAGATGGAGCGTAACTTTAACATGTCCCTGTGCTCTGCTGTCAGGGCCCTGTGCTCTCCTCTCAGTCAGGGCCCTGTGCTCTGCTCTCAGTCAGGGCCCTGTGCTCTGCTCTCAGTCAGGGCCCTGTGCTCTGCTCTCAGTCAGGGCCCTGTGCTCTCCTCTCAGTCAGGGCCCTGTGCTCTCCTCTCAGTCAGGGCCCTGTGCTCTCCTCTCAGTCAGGGCCCTGTGCTGTGCTCTCAGTCAGGGCCCTGTGCTCTGCTCTCAGTCAGGGCCCTGTGCTCTGCTCTCAGTCAGGGCCCTGTGCTCTGCTCTCAGTCAGGGCCCTGTGCTCTGCTCTCAGTCAGGGCCCTGTGCTCTGCTCTCAGTCAGGGCCCTGTGCTCTCCTCTCAGTCAGGGCCCTGTGCTCTCCTCTCAGTCAGGGCCATGTGCTCTCCTCTCAGTCAGGGCCCTGTGCTCTCCTCTCAGTCAGGGCCCTGTGCTCTCCTCTCAGTCAGGGCCCTGTGCTCTCCTCTCAGTCAGGGCCCTGTGCTCTGCTCTCAGTCAGGGCCTTGTGCTCTCCTCTCAGTCAGGGCCCTGTGCTCTCCTCTCAGGGCCCTGTGCTCTGCTCTCAGTCAGGGCCCTGTGCTCTCCTCTCAGTCAGGGCCCTGTGTCATCCATCTCCATCAGGGGGAGGGGGCTTATTATGATTTTTATAGAACTATATAACACAAGACAATAACAATTCAGTGCAGCTGTTTGGACGGACCAAGTTTGAGACTTTGAAGACCGAAGAGTTCGTACTAAACCAGGACAGTCACGTGTAGCTTGATTGGCAGCGTAATATTCAAGATTGTTTTGGTTTTTGCTCTTGGGGTCGCATTATGATCTTAACAAATCAAGAAAACAAGACATTAACATCATAGATTATTACATTAGCTCAGTTGGTAGAGCAATGGCTTTTGAGTCTGAAGGTCGTGGGTTCGAGTCCACCACAAGACTCTTCACTGACACCCACTGATGTCATTGTGTCCTTAGGCAAGACACTTCCTCCACATTAGAATGAGCCTGGTGTGAATGGTTGGTGGTGGTGGTGGGAGGGGCTTCTGTCAGTGTGCCCCAGGGCAGCTGTGGCTACAGCAGTAGTTTATCACCTGTGTTTGGAGAGAGAGAATAATGAAGTGAAGAGACTTTGAGAGTCCAAAAAAGTGCTGTATAAACTAATGCATTATTATTATTATTATTATTATTATTATTATTATTACATTAAAATGAGTCTCCAGTTGGATGCACAGCTCGGACAGAGACACATTATAGTACATGGGCGGCAGTAGCTCAGTTGGTAGAGCTTTGGCCTTTGAGCCAGAAGGTCGTGGGTTCAAGCCCCGCTCAAGACTTTCACCATCGACTCCCACTGACTACTGTCGTTGTGTCCTTGGCAAGACACTTAACCTCTGGGAACACCAGCCACAGTGGGGCGGCTGCGGCTGTAAAGTGCCAAACTGCTGTTGTGTCCTTAGGCAAGACACTTCACCCCCATTGCCTAGAATGAGTCTGGTATGAATGGTTGGTGGTGGGAGGGGCCGATGGCACAGACTGGTTGCCTCGCTTCTGTCAGTGTGCCCCAGGGCAGCTGTGGCTACAGTAGTTTATCACCACCGTGTATGGAGTGAATGATTAATGACACATGTGAAGCGTCTTTGAGTGTCCAAAAAAGCGCTGTATAAAACCGATGCATTATTATTATTATTATTATTACATTCTTTGAGCCACAGGAAGATATTTATGTGATAGTTTTGAACACTTTCAACCTGTCTTGAGTCAAGAACTTTGGACGACTACAGCCCGACTTGTGCGTGGTCTCGTTGGGAAAAGTAAAACAGAAGTCTATAACTTAAAACTCAACCCAATATTTTCTTATTTTAGCCCAAGAAAAAGAAGAATATCTCCCACGATGCTTTTGGCACAAAGTTTGGCCGTGTGCACATGCAGAAGCAGGACCTGACCAAACTCCAGACACGAAAGATGAAGGGTCTGAGGAAGAGGAGGAGCGACGCCACGCCACAAGACGAAGCCGTGGCCGCGAAGGTCGTGAAAGAGGAACCCAAAGACTGACCCCGCACCGTGACAATAAACAGAACTATTTTATACATTTAGACTCTTTATTTTTGCTCTGTCCGTTAATGAAATGTGTTTTCATGAATCACAGCAGCATCTTGGATCTTTGATCTGACGTTTGTAAAGAATAAAACAGTTTCAGGAAATGTGCATAAATGTCCCGTCACTGTTTTAGACCCTCCTGTGTAGTTAAAGAACAACCAAACAAAAGTGAGGGATTCTCTCACACAGATGGATGGACTCTCGACCCAGGACCCTGCTGCATGTGAAGGCCTGATCCCATTAGACCTCTGAAGCTAAGCAGGGCATGGTCTGGTTATTACTGGGATGGGAACATCAATTAATGTAATGGACTAGGACATGTCTAAGACAATACTTAGAGTCTGCTCTCTGCTGATGACACACATCAGGCTCAGCAGTAACTTATCACCGATGTATGAAGTGAAAGAATAATGCCATGTGTGTTGGTCTTTAAAAGAAAATCCGCTTTATAAAACCAATACATTATTAGATCCGGGTCTCAGGCTTCAGATTTGGAGCTGAGACTTCAGATCCAGGTCTCAAACTCAGGCTGTAGATCCAGGACTGAAAAGGCTCCTTGGTGGGGAGGGTGCAGAATCTAAGTGGATCTTCCACGTCACGTGTATACTAACCAATTCAGTGTTTCACCGTTATTCTGCAGCTCTCTGGTAACGCAATTAAGTTTAGGGACCATGATCTCAGGCCAATCAGATCCACGGAGCCTCAATAGCCACGCCCACGGACTATTTATACGCACCACAGCTGTTTTTTGTGACAGTATAAAAAAGATGTGTTTGCACAACTGAGAAAGCTCTCTATAAACGTGCAGCACCAGGGGCAGAAGCAAGACACTATTTTAACACACGTATAGTAACTTATAGTATAGTAACCACACAATGACTGAGGCCAACGGACTACCTGAGCCCTCCGCAGAAGAGACGCAGGAGACCCCCGGAGAGGAGACCCCCGGAGAGGAGACCCCCGGAGAGGAGACCCCCGGAGAGGTGAAGCCCGGAGCGGAGGAGGGGAGCGGGGGGAGCCCAGATGAAGCCGAGTTTGTGCACCCTGAAGGCGGATGGGGCTGGGTGGTCATGCTGGCGGCCATGTGGTGCAATGGGTCGGTGTTCGGGATCCAGAACGCCTTCGGGATCCTGTTCGTGTCCCTCCTGCGGGAGTTCGGATCCGAGAACGATGAAGACCTCCGCTTCAAGACAGGTAAGGTTCATCTCTAATGAATGGGAAAAACACACAGACACACAGGCTTTTTACAACAAGTCGTTCAAGAGAAAACATAACATATCCAGATTTGACATTATAAGTTAAGCTAATGGTGCCTTCACGTGCAGTGGTAATTATGGAAACTCACATTTTGAGTGAAATGATCTAATCTCATATTTCTACTAAAGTATCATTTTGAGATTAGAGATGAATTCCTAACCATTTGTGTGCATGCTAACCACAGACAGTGAATATTAGGCTCACTTATATCAGTGGTTTTACAGGGATTAACGACAGCACAGTTCTATTGCGTTGTGTGGTAATAAACGGCTCATAAACAGTTTAGAGATAGTGATAATTTAGCATTCACACAAACTGCCTTTGATCTTCACGATATGAGTCTTTCCAAAGTTACTCTCACCCGAAAAGATCAGTTTGTTTTATAATAATTCAACTTTTATTCAGGGTTTTTATGGCGCGCTCCCGTTTTTTCCTTCAAATGTATAAATATATAAATGTGTAAATGGCAAAGGGTTAGGGTGTATTACTTTACTTTGGGACAGTTGGATATAGTACATATTTAATACTTGTAAACCACTTTTGTTTTACTTTAACGACAACAAAACCTGAAGCGGCATAAGCTAGCGGGTAATTTGATCACTTATTTCCTGGTGGGCCAAAACGTGCTGAACGTGGAGCCAACGTGGGCTAAACGTGGGACAAAATGGCCAGTATAAAGTTTTAACGGAGGAGGGAGTTCTAGATCCCATCAGATTTCTGAAGCTAAGCAGGGCAGGGTCTGGTTAGTGCGGTGATGGGAGACCTATGAGAGAGAGGCCAGAGAGAGACATAACAGAGAGCGAGACCAGAGAGTGAGACTAGAGCGAGACCAGAGAGTGAGACTAGAGCGAGACCAGAGAGTGAGACTAGAGTGAGACTAGAGAGAGAGACTAGAGTGAGACTAGGAAGAGAGACTAGAGAGAGAGACTAGAGAGAGACTAGAGAGAGAGTCCAGAGAGGGACTACAAAGAGACTAGAGAGAGACTAGAGAGAGACTAGAGAGAGACTAGAGAGAGACTAGAGAGAGACCAGAGAGAGACCAGAGAGAGACCAGAGAGAGACCAGAGAGAGACCAGAGAGAGACCAGAGAGAGACCAGAGAGAGACCAGAGAGAGACCAGAGAGAGACCAGAGAGAGACCAGAGAGAGACTAGAGAGAGAGACTAGAGAGAGAGACTAGAGTGAGACTAGAAAGAGAGACTAGAGAGAGAGACTAGAGAGAGAGAGACCAGAGAGAGACTACAGAGAGACTACAGAGAGACTAGAGAGAGACTAGAGAGAGAGTCCAGAGAGGGACTACAAAGAGACTAGAGAGAGACCAGAGAGAGACCAGAGAGAGACCAGAGAGAGACTAGAGAGAGACTAGAGAGAGACCAGAGAGAGACCAGAGAGAGACCAGAGAGAGACTAGAGAGAGAGACTAGAGTGAGACTAGAAAGAGAGACTAGAGAGAGAGACTAGAGAGAGAGAGACCAGAGAGAGACTACAGAGAGACTAGAGAGAGAGTCCAGAGAGGGACTACAAAGAGACTAGAGAGAGACCAGAGAGAGACCAGAGAGAGACCAGAGAGAGACTAGAGAGAGACTAGAGAGAGACCAGAGAGAGACCAGAGAGAGACTAGAGAGAGACTAGAGAGAGAGACTAGAGTGAGACTAGAAAGAGAGACTAGAGAGAGAGAGACCAGAGAGAGACTACAGAGAGACTAGAGAGAGACTAGAGAGAGAGTCCAGAGAGAGACTACAGAGAGACTAGAGAGAGACTAGAGAGAGAGTCCAGAGAGAGACTACAGAGAGACTAGAGAGAGACCAGAGAGAGACCAGAGAGAGACTACAGAGAGACTAGAGAGAGAGTCCAGAGAGAGACTACAGAGAGACTAGAGAGAGACCAGAGAGAGACCAGAGAGAGACTAGAGAGAGAGAGACCAGAGAGAGAGAGAGAGACATAACAGAGAGAGAGACTAGAGAGAGAGAGGGAGACCAGAGAGAGACGAGAGAGAGAATAGAGAGTGACAGAACAGAGAGAGACCACTTTTGGCACAGGCCACATTCATCTGCTACAAAGGAAAGTCTTGTGTGGCTTCAGCAGGAAACAGTTAAACACATGACCTCTTCCTGAACCGTTGAAACGTCTCCCAGTGACAGAAACATACATGGTACTTTAGCCACATGTGAACTTCATGAGTGCTCGCGAAAACCAGGGACTGATTCCACGTTTCTTTGAATTGGCGCATACATGATGTGTGAAGAGGGACCGTGTTCCTGGGATTATGAGAAAGAGCGATAGAGTGGGATCCTAACACCTGGGACTGACGGGACCGAGGGAAGTGACGGGAAATGAATGAAGCTAAAGTCGTATCACAATGGCCTGGTCAGTCACAACAATGCAAATTATGATTGATGAATGTGATGATGAAGATGGGCCTGGCTGGTCTGGTTTTGTTCAGTGCTTCATGCAGGTTATGCTTTGACTGGGATTATCATTTTGCATCTACAAGTGGAAATGAGGGTTCAAGCAGGATATTACAAAAACACTTGTAATTCTGAATTTTAAAATATGTGTATTTTTTTGTTTTACATTATTTGAATAGGGACAGTACACATGAACATTACTGTAAATCTGTCTGTTTCATCTCATATTTTGGCACAAATGTGTGTTTGTGAGGACCGGCTATTGTGTACGGGACATAATAATGTCACATGATAGTCTTTCACAGCTTCCTATTGGTTGAAATATTTGTTTAAAAAAAGAAGAAAAAAATGTATTAGTTTATTTGAATAGGGACGGTACATAGACTGTAACCATTAGCAGTACAGATTAACCTTAGAGCTTGTTTCCGGCTGTAGTCTCTTGGCAAAGTGTAAAATGCCAAATTCTATAATGAATTCTTTCTATTAAATATATTTACGCTCTTCTTCTTCTTCACTTCTTTGACCGTCAATGCTTTCCGTGGAAGATACGAGTTATCACCCAACCTTGACCTTACTCACCACAACATCAGTTTGGCTGAGTCTAAATCAACAGCAGTGAAGTCCAGGCGCCAGTGGAGGCCGTAGGAGCCGAGGAACAACCAGACACAGGGTTATTACAGATGCAGCGTTTATGAAGAAGACGACGGTTTTACTTTCACACGTACTTTCATATATATTAGTTTATATTCCTCATTATCAGACTGAGCTACAGTGGCTCAGGCTGAGAACACAGTGAAGTTTAGTTTTAAGCAATAACTATGTGCAGGCAAGTTTTTTTGTATAACACAATTCGTACACAAGGCAACTCAAATGAATGTAGATTTTTATTTATGGCATCTTGATTTTATTCTGCTTTAACTTGTTTGCACCGAGAGCAATTTCCTCGTTTGTGACTTCCTGTTTCTCACTCGGCAACAAAAGGATTCTGATTCAAAATGGTGAACAACAGTCACACAAAGATTTATAAAAATAAATAATCACAGTGCATTGAAAAGAGCGAAGATAAAATCCTTCACTTGTAGAAACAGAACTGTTTGGATTTGAACAATGTCAGAGGAGAAGTCTGTCTCACATTTTCAGGAAGATTGATCCAGATTCTAGCAGCATGAATCTGAAATGCAACCTCCTCATGTTTAGTCCTGACTCTGGGACCAGCAGGAGACCGGTCCCTGTGCTCCTCAGAGTCCCAGCAGGAGACCGGTCCCTGTGCTCCTCAGAGTCCCAGCAGGAGACCGGTCCCTGTGCTCCTCAGAGTCCCAGCAGGAGACCGGTCCCTGTGCTCCTCAGAGTCCCAGCAGGAGACCGGTCCCTGTGCTCCTCAGAGTCCCAGCAGGAGACCAGTCCCTGTGCTCCTCAGAGTCCCAGCAGGAGACCGGTCCCTGTGCTCCTCAGAGTCCCAGCAGGAGGCCAGTCCCTGTGCTCCTCAGAGTCCCAGCAGGAGACCAGTCCCTGTGCTCCTCAGAGTCCCAGCAGGAGACCGGTCCCTGTGCTCCTCAGAGTCCCAGCAGGAGGCCAGTCCCTGTGCTCCTCAGAGTCCCAGCAGGAGGCCAGTCCCTGTGCTCCTCAGAGTCCCAGCAGGAGGCCAGTCCCTGTGCTCCTCAGAGTCCCAGCAGGAGGCCAGTCCCTGTGCTGCAGGTTGTTGTATGTGTCTTAGAGCCTGACACAGCCGGACCATAGTCCACAGCACCTGCCACTGGACTTTTATCTGTGGATATGATCCGTGCATGTCACAGACTTCCCTGATCTAAGCTGGAGTCCCCTTCCCTGTGTGCCCTTGACAGTGTGTGTTGATAGTGAGTGTGTGGACCCTGGACTTCAGAACACCCTGGAGCCTGTGTTTGCCGTTCGCTAACTCTGTACACACTCCAGTTGTGTTTCCTTCTCTTTTATTTACCAGAGAGAACACACATGCTGTAGAGGTAAACATGCTACGACCCAATGACGGACCAGCCTCCTGGTGCGAGTGGGGGGTGCGTCCACATGATGCCCCCTGGTCCTGGCATCGAGCCTATCTTTGTGATCAGAAGCTGAACACATGACGAATGACAACGTGGGATGTTAACCTTTGACTCGGCTCACACAAAAGTAAATCTTTGACAGTTCATTGCTGATGTTTGCCCAGGAGGTGAATGTGACGACTCCTCACTGCCCCACATCACCTGAGCTGACTTTGGCCCCAAAACCTACACAGAAAAAACAAAACATTTTCATTTTGTGTTGAAGTTGACATACATTTTATTGCTAGTTTCATTAGTATCATTGCTTTTGTTCTTCTGTCCTTCTTTCACTCACATCATTTCACTTTCCTCTAGAATGTGGTTGAGAACTATCAATTAAGTTTGGAGCTAAAATGGGGCGTACAAACCCTCCACCAATCAGAACGCACCGCTGCCCTCTCCCTGGACTCCCCTCCCCACTCACAGCTCTCATCTGGAGATCCTTACGTCTGGACCAGAGCAGCAGCACAGATG